TGGGTGCTTTGCCTGAATATATGGGTACCACATGTATAAAGTACCAGTGAAAACCAGAGGACCAGCATTGAATCCCTTGGGAGCAGAGTTACAGACAGCTGTGATCTGCTGTGTGGGCACTGGGACTAGAACCCAGGTCCTCTGGGAGAGTGGCAAGCACTCTTAACCACAGAGCCATCTCTCCAGCTTGGCTTTTGCATTTTTTTCGACAGTGGAGAAATTACTTTGTAATCTAAGACAATGATGCGATATTCAGATTTCAGTGTATATAAGGAAACATTTTTTTTAAAACTAGATTATAACTGCACTCAATTGTTTAACTGTCTGCTAAGATCCAGGTGGTGGTGGTGCACGCCTTCAATCCCAGTACTTGGGAGGCAGAGGCAGGTGGATCTCCATGGGTTCAAAGCCAACCTTGTCTACAGAATGAGTTCCAGAACAGCCAGAGATACACAGAGAAACCCTGTCTCAAACCCTTCCCCGCCAAAAGTATCTCCTAAGGCTACTATTAGGCTTCAACAACAGAGCTGAGCAGCGTGACAGAGACTGCACAGCCCACATTGCTGAGTAGCTAGCTGATGGGCTTGAAGAAGGAAGGTCGGGATTAGCTTTTGAGGGTGATCAGATGCCCAGGCTAAATCATCTGTCTGCATCCAAATGTCTTCTTAGCTGCTGCTTGGAGGTACTGTGTAACAGGTTTTCAGGTGTACCTGGCATTTCCTCTGTACAATCCTCTGTGTAGTCTTGGCTGTCCTGGAACTCACTTTGTAGACAAGGCTAGTCTTAAACTCAGAGCTTCACCTGCCTCTGGATTATTGGGATTAATACACCGTGCTTCTCTGGAGAAAAACAAAAAGAGATGGGGGAAAACTGTTGGAATTTTAGAGACTTCTCAATGTGATGAGTAGTTTGTAGACTACACTATATTTTCAGGGGGTATGTGTGGGGTCACAGGTGATGTACACAGACTCTCAAAGTTGGTCATAGCACAGAGGCAGAATATCTCTGGGGCGGGGTTAATGCCACAGCCATAAGAGGGGTGATGGAATGTGAGGACCAGGGCTCTGGGGGATCTCTGTTCCTTCTCACTGGCTCTCCCCAGAGGACAGGAAACTTCCGTTTCTAAGAGACAACGAACACTTTGCTTTTCCTACTTAGCTCCGCAGGGACTGCTTTACCAGTGGGTGAAGTTGCTTTGCTTTCAAATACGACTCTGGTTCAACTCCAGTTTTCTTTTTCCCTTGCCTCTTCTGCTTCCTGGACCACTAAGCAGGATAGTGGCTTTTCTTTGGCATCCAGCCTTCTATTTGTTGTTGTTCTGACTCTCTACAGGAGACAGGTTCCTAGTCTTGTAATCAGGAAGCAATGAAAATCCGCACACTTCACCACAGGAAATACACTGTTAAGATTGGGAAGGCCAGTAAAGATGAACTCCAAATTCTCATCTGACAAACTCAGATCCAGATTGCCCAGTTGGCTCCCAAGATTTAATGGTTCTTTCTAGCATTTACAAGTGCAAAAATGTTTGATAAAATCTGAACATTTAAAGAATTCTGGATACTTGGCCTCTTCAGATTTTCTGAATAAGGTTTTTACTTTTAAGTTTCATGTTTATTCTCACTGAATGAAAGCCTTCGTCCTCTTCAGTAGAAGCTAGGAACTAACTGAAATAAAAAGTGTAGACTAGAAAAATTGCCTTTGAATATCAGATGTCAGTAGAGTGCCTGGAACTTGGAACTGATCCTTAGAGTAAGTCATTTTTAATGGTTCTTCCCCCCTGGAAGTTGCAAGATTTTGATAAGGATGACTCAGCCCCCAAACACTAACTCATCCATGATTCAATAGTGGCTGATATTTTAGCTTTGCTCATTTGAGTACTGTCTTAGCTGGGGTTTCAATGGCTGCAAAGAGATACAGCAACTTTTATAAAGGAAAACATTTAATTTGGGTGGCTTACAGTTTCAGTCCATTATCATCATGGTGCAACATGGTGGCATGCAGGCAGACATGGTGCTGGAGAAGGAGCTGAGAGCTCTACATCTTGATTCACAGGCAACAGGAAGTAAACTGTGACACTGGGCATAGCTTGAGCATAGGAGACCTCAAAGCCCACCCCCACAGTGACACACTTCCTCCAACAAGGCCACACCTACCCCAACAAGGTCACACCTGCTAATTGAGCCACTCCCTTTGGGGACCATTTTCTTTCCAACCACAAGTACTTACAGGCTGTTCTAGGAAAAGTTTATTTTGCTTTGGTGGCAACAAAAGCAAAGGGAAACAGGATTTTCCCACGCTATTTTCAAAACCAATTAGTGTCTACTGATTTCTTATTTTATGAACTGTTCTGCTAGTTCCATTATGTCGGAGGTCAAATATCATCTTTTCATTAAAATAGGTTTTAAAATGAAAAGTAGAAACAAAACACCACACTTGTCAAACTCCATGCCCTTTGGGAAACCTACAAGGAGAAGCTACAAATTTACCTAATACCTTGAGCCACTGAAATGAAATCTTAGAGCTACATAAAAACATTTTATTTTTGTTTTTCATTTCCAAGTGTCTTTTGAGTTTCCCTGTTGGTTACTTAAAGTCTTGCTCTAGAGAGCAGACAGTCCTGGATTTGTCTTGCCTTAATTTCCAGCTGCATGACTTTGAGCTCATCCTTTTTTCTCATATGTACATTAGGGATAAAAGTGGTATCTCTGCCCCCATGGAAAAGCAAAATGCACAGATGACAGTCTCATATTCTATAGAAATCCCGTGAGTGTTGCAATAAAAAGTATAGAGAGCACTTAATACATATGGCTTCTGGCATGTGGTAACTGCTTATCAAATGTCCGTGTAATTTGCTGTGCAAAAGAGGGCTGACGTTGGGGTCTTGATTAAGCCAGTTCTACAAAATGTAAAATGTTTTTTTATTTGCATTTATTATTTATTTATTTTAAAGATTTCTCTCTCTCTCTCTCTCTCTCTCTCTCTCTCTCTCTCTCTCTCTCTCTCTCTTTCTTTCTTTTTGAGACAAGGTTTCTCTGTGTAGCCCTGGCCATCCTAGAACTTACTCTGTAGACCAGGCTGGCCTTGAATTCAGAGATCTACCTGCCTCTGCCTCCTGAGTGTTGGGACTAAAGGCATGTGCCACCACGCCTGGCTTAAAGATTTATTTCTAATTGTGTGTAGGTGTGTGTGTGTGTGTGTGTGTGTGTGTGTGTGTGTGTGTAAGCATGTACCATGGTGTGTAGAGGCCAGAGAACAACTTGATGGAACCAGTTCTCTCCTTTTACTATGAGGATTCCTGAGACTGAACTCAGGTCCTTGCTTGGCGTAAGCTATTTCTCTGCGTTAAGCCATGTCACTGGCTCCCGGGTCCAGTTTGTCAGCCAAGGCCTCTGCGTGGCATCCTGTCCTTTTCCGGACTTCTACTTTAGCTCTAAAGCAGTATATACTAATAGTACCCAGCTCACTGGGCTGTTGTAAACAAAGCACCTATCACATCCTTTCCCACCATCTGACCACAAGCACTCACAGGAAGTTTCAAAAGAAAATAAGTATGAGTCCTCTACCACAAGCAAGGAAAACATCCAACAAAGCCAAGCCAGCCATACACAATGAATTGCTGATGACACATGCAGATCAAAGCAGTTCTGTCATCCATTCCCATTTATATTTTTCCTAGTGTGGATGTGGAGGGATTTTCAATGAGAACCTGTTTTCTGGTGTTTGTAACAAGTCAGCAAATCTCAAAAGCCCAACTAAAATTCAGGCTCATTAAAGACGCTACAAGAAACTGCAAAAGTCGCAAGGCATTCAGTGGTTCAGAAATTAGGATAAAACAAACCTCTTCGATCTGTTCCCAGGTGAGTATCTCACTCTCACCGGGAGGCAAAGCAAGAGGATGAAATATCCTGGACTGGGACAGAAGCAGCCAAAAAGGCGCCTCTTTGAGCATCAGGTTCTCCATCACCTCCTAGTGGGAGACTTTCCTCCAGGATGGTTCCGGAGTCTGGGCTCCAGGCCCAGAAGGCGCCTCAGCAGCAGTCAGCAGGGTGATCTCCAGTACTCACACAGTTAAACCTCTGCCTAGGAGGAGACGGGAGAAGTGAGCAGAAGGGAGGGAGGGGAGAAGACAGAGGGGGAAGGCGAGAGGAGGGAGAGGGAGCGGAGAGCTGGGCAGGAGGGAGGAGGGCGGCGGGAGCACGGAGGAGGGAGCAGGGAGGGCCGGCCCCGCCCACTGGCACAGAGCTGGCCTCCTCCCGCCCCCGCCCCCGCCCCACGGCGGGCTCCGGGCCGCACCT